ACTGCCTCTGAAAATCCAAAGGAGCAACAAGTCTGACTGAGATATAGGACATATTAAGCTCCTTTTCGATGTTTCTAAATTCAAAGGCTTTTGAATATGGGATATGAGTACATCAGTTCTTGAGGAAGAGGCAAAATGCAGACTTCAGATTTGAATCAGAGATATTAAAATGAGGAATATAAGCAGCACCATTAAAGTTCTATCTGGTGCAGCTAAGAAACTTTAAATAGTCTCATACAGAAGACATGAGCTCTACATCACAAAATTTCTTCACTTACAGGCCAGGAAACCATTTATCATAAATTATTTGGGTATATGTAATGCAGCCCAGGAACAGCAGTATAGATCAGACGATAATCCTCAGATGTCTTTCCAAAATGTTGTTCTTTATGAGCTATATATTATTTCATGTTAGTTCTCTTCGAATATGTTCAGAAATAAAGAAAAACTGTGTGCCTTCTGCAACTGTAAACCTTGCCTAGTAAGTATTCTTTTGTACAATGGGTCAAAGGCAGAAGAAGAGGAAAATTTCCAATTTCCAGGTAAAATCTCCAGTTTTTTAGTTTGAAAAGGCATTCCTAGAAAATCCAAGTAATCACAGTAACATTCATTAGAGGCTGATACCAAAACAGAACATTTCAACTGGCTAAACTGATCTTTATCTCTAGATATTTGCTATTCCTTATTTCTGGCACAGAACAGAGAGAACTTACAGTGATGTGGCCTTTTTGGAATCTCTGGAAACGAGTTTGACGGTCTTAGTCTAAAATTAAGCAATCCCTAAGAGGTGACTGGGACTATTTTGACAGGGAAGAGTCTTAGCGGAGAATGAAGCTGGAAAGTCAGCAGGGCGAAGGAGGCTGTCTCAGTCATCTTCTGCCTTGCTGCCACAGCGAGGAGATACATTGCTGCAGTTGCCACTGCCCACAGCTGGCACATTAATATCCACCAAGCTATGAGTGTGCCCAGGCAGGATTTGGGGAGAAAAGTACTTAACATTTGCCTTTCAGAGGTCTTCTGCTCAAGAGAAGGGTTTGTGGTAACCGACGTTTGCTCTAAGGAAAGAAAAGTTAAAAAAACCACAAAGCCTAACAAACACATCCAAAAGGAAAAAAAAAAAGTACTATTTAATAATTAAACAAAACACTGAATGTTTAAAGACTGAAATTTTTTTTGGTGATCATTCATGTCATACTACTGTGGCATCAAAACTTGTGCAGAGTCTCTGAGCTGTCCCTGCTTCCTGCACAGCCCCAAACACTGACACTTCTGCTTTAGGTAAGATGAGCTTCTCCAGAAAGGGTGATAAGGGCCAGCCAGGAACACAAACTTCTCATACCTACTGCTACATATTTCACAGACTATTGCTGAGGCAGGGGGTGCACCTCTTGCAGAAGACTGCCATGATACTTCTTACATGATCACAAAGTAATGAACAGAGAGGAAGAAAACAGGAAATACGTAACGGAAGAGAATTAAAAAGTTTAAAAAGGAGAGACAAGGAAAAAGAAAGGAGCTTCTACTTGGAAGAAAGTCGCTGATTGCCCCTGGGTCACCTTGCACATGAAGCGAGCTCTGTGCAGCTCTGCTAAATCTTGTGTCATTCAGCCGTGAGATCTGCCTGAATGCCACTGTCCACAGAAACCTGTGCAGCTCTGAAAGGAAAAGATCTTTGGGATGAAAGCACTGTGTCTGCTGCTCAGGAGCGCTGCCAGCCGTCTTTGTGCGGTGTCACTATGGTTGCTGACAGCTGCTCTGTTTCTCCTTTAGATGCTTTGCCCCTTTTCCCAAGCTGAGGTGAAATGATACACTCAGTAAGGAAGCAGAAAAAGGTGGTAAGAGGAAAGTAACATGATGACATAATCCATTAATAAAGTCAAACACCTCCCTGCTCTCTCCTTCCCAGGACTTGTCCACAGCCCAAGTCACCACTGGAACAGCTGAGGATGGTGGAATTATCACTGTGTGCACAGTTTTGCCAAACTCCACCCAAAAGTCACTTTCCTCTAATACCAACAGGCATGTTCTCACGTATTAGAAAAATATACCTAACTCTCTATGTAAGAAAGCCTAGTGTCCTCGTGAACATAAACGTCAGTTACGCACTCTTAGACTTAGTAAAGCCCCTGAGCCAAATGTCTGGTTGGAACACTGAGCAGAAATACACACGGCTGTAACCCACGTGTGCTGCTACCTTTTGTTTGTTTTTCCAGAAAAACACAGGATGTCCGATGCTTTTGTCATGTTTCACCATCTGATTTGTATTAGCAACCTTTGTAAAACTCCAGCTATACTTTATGCAAAGCTTATGAAAGTCCCCTAGGATTAATTACCTCACTCAGAGTCCAATTTATTTAGCAATTAGGAAAAATTAGACAGTAGTTTGTGAGTTTGCTGTTTTGAAATGAAAGGCCAGAGTCCTTAGGTCTGTTCCCAGGCTAAATGCTAGTTTTAGAAATTAATTATTTGAAAGCCTCTCAACAAGTACTTTACTTTGCAACCTTTTTTTGCATTGTTTAGCCTCCAAATAACTTCCTTGTTCAAACTGTGAGCATACTAATTGAAAAAAAAAAAACCACAACCAACCAACCAACCAGGAACGTAAACCTGAGACATGACAGTTTTTAGAATCGACTTTTGTTTCTCAGTCTGAATTTGCCAAACTGGTAACACTGGTCTCAGGAAATGCATTGTGATGCTGTGTAAAATGTGACATCATCGAGGAACCACCAACAAACGCTACCAAAAAGAAACCTTGTCCTATGCAGAAATTCAACACCAGAACCACGCGCTCTCTATAAAATCATGGGGACTTTATAGAGTGTAATCCTGGGATAAATAGATGTCACATATGGGCTGTGGGGAAGGATCTCTGGCTCTGCAAGCCTCCCAGTGCCCCAAGAAGCCTCCTCAGTACCCAAGAAGAGACCTGTAGGCTGCAAACCCCCTGGGCTGGGCAATGGTGAGGCAGTGAAAATCCCAGCTATGCACAGAAAGACAGCTGCCCAGGCCATAGCACAGTCTGGCCGTCCCAGGGAGCTGCTTTTTCAGCATATTTACACCAGAAGTCACGAGAGACTACGGTTTTTGAAGGCAGTCTTTGAGACTTCTTACACAGCGTCTGCAGCCGGGAAATCCTCCTGCATATATCCCATAGGTATATGGGCTCTAAGGCTTTAGAGTCCTTTCACTACTTCTGCAGCTCTTGTAGCAGGGCAGGTTACCGAGACAGTTATTGAGGCTCTAGACCCAGATTTAGCTTTCACTCTGCCAGTTTGGCTTTAAGGGCAGCTCTCAGGACCAGTGGTTTCACTGTCTGTTCAACAACTTCTGTTCAACTACTGCAAAGCACTGCCTTCCCCAGCACATGCAAATCACATCATTTCACAAAACTGTTAGTATTTTCTGAGGAACAGCTTGGCACATACAGCACAATTACTTGGAGCATGATGGATGAACAACTGCTGTACAGAAGCTACGTACCAAGCATGAACTGCAGATCTGGAGGGGCTGTAGTTATCAGTGTTCCAATGCTAACTTGCTTTGAGTTGATGGGGATAGACTGTTGTGCAGCAGCTGAGGTTTTGGCCTAAAGGAATATAAACATTTGGATATCATATTATTTGAGTAACTCACTAGATAACTTAATGTGTGATGGCTGAACAAAGTCTTAAAGAGATCATGCACATCCCTAATGTAAAGCTCGCAAGAGCCCCTTTTAGTCTACTAGCTGTTCCCAAGGGACGTTTAAGGTTTATGTGGCCCATTTTTGGATCTTTTAGATGTGGTTCTGATGTACACTGCAAGTTCACTTTGCCTCTCCCTATATTTAATGTATTTACATTTTTTGTGACTGAATTCAAGTGGATTGTATCTGATTTTCTCACTGTTCACTTGGTTGCACCCTTTCAGGATATTCAAAATCCCTTAATGGCTTTTCACCTGTTACACTGACTGCTAAAAAGAAAGCCAGGCGAAGCATTTGCTGTGAAACTCTTCATGTGGTCTGCTGGCTCCAGACAGTGAGGACTCTATGGCCTTCCACAAGTTTTCTGGAAATGTCACATTAGTGGCCTTTTTACCCCAGACATATTGCACATTAGCAGATTTCTTTCCTTATCTCCATCTTCCAGAGATAAGCATCTACTAGCTCATGAAAGCCGAGTCTCAGAAGAGTGCATTGTAGGCCACATATTTTATGTTTTCTGCAAACCTTCTATGTTCTTCATGGCCTTCTACAGCTTCCTACGGTCTCAGCCGCTAGGGACTGTGTAACGTGTCCCAACTATGCATCTTGGAAAATATGAGCTAATGTGAATGAGACTGGAGATACAGAAGAGGACAGGGAATCCGCTGTGCGTTTCCTTTCCTTCTGGAGGGCTGGGAAGCAAGGGAATTACTCCCTGGGATGCAAGTGTTTCAGAGTAACGAGGAGGCAGCATTAGCGAAGGACACCAAGTCCTTAAGGATTCATTGCCACTTTGCTGCTCTGAATAACTCCCCAAGAGGGCAAGGAAAGCTGTCAGTGGTCCTCTGATTTACGGCTATTCAATGTTTGACCCTCCTTCTGCAGGAGCTGCCACAGCAGCAGTTCTAAAGACAAAAGCCAGGGAGAGATCCACAGAGAAAGGTCCCTGAGAAGGCAGTTCGCCCTCCTTCCTCCCCCTCCTCTCCACTGGGAGGTTTGTATTTTGCTTCTGTGTCAACGTCAGGTGTAGGTAGCTGCTGCCCAGTACAGAAAAAAAAAATCAAAGAGCAAGTAAAGACTGGGGTTTTGCACCTTCCACGCTCAGATTTTGTAACAACGCTGCTCCGCTGATTCGAAGCATTCAGGAAGTTTAAAGTAAGGAAAAAAAAAAGGGGGTGGGGGGCTGTGCTCTATTGTCTCCGTATTGCACTGCCTCTTTAAAATCAGACATGCACGGACAGCTTCAAGGTGCCTCCCACTGAGAAAAGGCTTTAGATGCATGCACAGAGACGGCGGAGCCATCCTCCCCTGAGCTGCAGGGCAAACCTGCCTGGGAGAGAAATGATCATTCAGCGAAGTCCTCTGGCTGCTTTCAGTGATCCTTTCTCTGCTCCAGTGACACCAGCACATCTGCAGGGGAGAAACCTGGAGGCTATCCCCAGAGTGCCTGAGACATCCAAGAAGATGAGAGCAACTGCAGGTACAGCTAGCTGATGGTATTATTTCAGTTTATTGATGGTTGGGTTGTCTTTCTCTATTTTAAAGTGCTCCCTCGGTGTTTTGCAGGGAAACCTGTCTGAAACAGATACTGCACCTTGCTTTGACCAACATACAGATTTTGCATCCAAGTATTTATTTAGTCCATCTCTTAAAAGAACGTTCACATTTCCAGGCAGCTGTGGGGATGTTTTGTAAAGCAGTCAATTGTTTGAACTGTTATTTAGTTTCAGGCTTTGGCTTTCTTTTATTCTGTTGTTCTGCAACTCCCAGTTCGAAAAGCAACGTGGAGACAGAAGTTGTACAAGAGTTTGTCTCAGAAATTTATTAAGTGTTGGTACATGAGGGTCTGAGCGTGGTTGCAGAGAAGGAAGGAGGCAACAGCTCCACTATGCAGGTTGTCCTTTGTAGCCATGATGGACACTGTTCAATAGCATTTGACAACCTTGAAGACCTTACTGCCTTAATGCAGAAAAAATGGTAATGCCCCCCGATTCTCTTCTGGGATGGGGTGAGACTGTCCCGACAGCTAGGAGTTTGGAGTGAGGATCTCCAGATGTGGCACAGGAAGATGCAAGAAGACAGTCCTCACAGCATTTTCATACAGAGTAGAGGCAAAAATAAGGAGTAAATTAGATTATTTTTCCTCATTGTGGAAAAAAATAAATCAATTTTTAACATTTGGTACAACCGGCCGTACAAAGACGGGAGCCTGCTCTTCTCCATCTTCAAAAATTCAAAGCACTTTATCTTGCTTGAGGAAGATTTTCCCTTTCACCCCAAGAGCCTGTTTGTGGAAGCGCTCTCCCTGTGAATGGCAGATTTGCCTTCACAGCAAAGCCCTACAAGCTGGTTCATGGGACAAAATCTTGTCTACACAAACTGGCAGAGCTCCACTGGTTTGAGAGAAGCAATAATGGATTATGCTGGCTGAAAATCTGGTCCCCCTACTCACTTAATGGCTGTCAAAAGGAAAGTGCTGGCTTTGCTATTTTCTTGGGTCTTGGCAGCTCTTACTTAATTAAGAAATGTATTTAGAAGCCAGGACATCAGTTCTCTTTCCATTCTCACCTACTGCATCACTCTTACTGAGATATCTAGAATAAAGCAAAAACTTTGTTCAAAAGGCACATCAGAAACTTTTCAGCAAACTGAGGTATCATGTCATTTCCATTCTCACCTACTGCATCACTCTTACTGAGATATCTAGAATAAAGCAAAAACTTTGTTCAAAAGGCACATCAGAAACTTTTCAGCAAACTGAGGTATCATGTCATTTCAATTTTTTTATCTTGCACAGGGAAGACAGCACCGCAGGCTTGAAGGCTGGTGGAGGTTTAAACTGGATTTCACACTCCTATATTGTCATTTCACTGTGTGCTGAAAACAAAATTTCTTCGTTGGTAAATAAAATTGCTAGGTGTAACAACCAGTATATTATGCAACTCAAGGGACTTTATGGTAACAGAAGCATCCTTTCACAGGGTATTTCTTCCCACTGCGCGCAGCCAGCAATAGAGGTGTGGGGCAATAAAGTGGCTATTGCTTCCCTCAAGCACAGTATTTTTGCTGTGATTTCCTCTCAGGAAATGTTTTCTTTTTTTTCCCACAGAATGAGATAAATGAGGCTGTTGCTTTATAATCTTATGGGGACAAAGACAAGGTGACTCACTGCTCAGAAGGAAACTTTGGATGAGGTCTCTCGCCTGCCGCCGTCGTGCCCTGCCACCCTGCGTAATTCTAACACGAAACCAAGGGCCAGCCAAACCACACGTGTCAAAAGCAGACAGACATGGCCATGGAGCAAGCTGAATATAACCCAAATGCTACCGTCAGCCTCAACTTTGCTGCAATCTACAACCTTCACAATGAGGATTTAACTGCCTTGCGAAACTTCTCCTCCCCTTCCAATTTCAATTACAACGATTACGACCTGCCACTGGACAGTGAAGACGACATGACCAAAACCCGCACCTTCTTTGCAGCCAAGATTGTGATCGGGGTGGCTCTGGTTGGCATCATGCTGGTCTGTGGCATTGGCAACTTCATCTTCATTGCTGCTCTCGCCCGCTACAAGAAGCTGCGAAATCTCACCAACTTGCTGATTGCCAATCTGGCCATCTCAGACTTCATTGTGGCCATCGTGTGCTGCCCCTTTGAGATGGACTACTATGTGGTACGGCAGCTGTCCTGGGAGCATGGCCATGTCCTCTGTGCCTCAGTTAACTACCTACGGACCGTCTCCATCTATGTTTCTACCAATGCTCTCCTAGCTATAGCTGTTGACAGGTAAGTAGGGTGTTATGACTGCACAAGGAGATGGCCAGAGGTTCTGAGGTTGGCCTTTCAGACTTCTAGGTTTTTAACATGCTCAGCTGTTCTGCAGGATTTGCTGATGGCCAGGTAGGTACTACACAGACATGGGTATCTTGTTTAATAAAAATTTAATCACATGAGGTCATGACATTACCGCAGAGAAAATTCGGTGAAAATTTCTTGATTGAGCTTTTCAGGTAAAAGAATGCTGGTTTACTGAAACTTTTTTTTTCTCAAAAATATATGCTTTATTCAAGTGCAGGAGAGGATTTACGAAATAAGAGAAAGAGGAGAAACAGAAAGACAAATCAGAAATACCCAGAGATGAGGGTGTTCATCAGCACTATATAATCCTGATCCAAACCATATACATCTAAGGAACTTTCACTACTGGCCTACACAGCTTTTCTGAGTCTAACTTTTTCTATAAACCGTGAAGTAAATACTTTTCAGTGAGAGAAATAATTGATTGGTGATACAGAATTTGACAGGTGAGTTTCTAACAGGGTTACTGCCTTATATTTCTTTCTCCCTCTAAGGTATTTTTCCTAGTTCTTGTTTTGGTGTGAGAGACAGTAAAAGAGAAGACGTCTATCTAGCCTGCAAAATAGAGCTCTTACTCTCTGTCATGTCATCCTGAGAACACCCAACAATCATTAAATTAATCATTTGATAGTACTGAGGTCTTAGCTGGATGCTCCAACCCAGAAATGGATGCTCGGTGAGCGTGGGCAGCACTCTCCTCTCCCTTAAAATACTCTCCTCTCATACTTTCCTCTCTCTTTACATGGTTCTCTGAGGATGGCACAGTGGCAAGCCAGGAAAGAGCCACAGGTCGTTTATAGCACCCATATTTAAAGCACTGTCCCAAAAATGATACAATGCTACACCAACCCAGTTTAGCAGAGATTTTTCCTACAGCCTTCATAATTGGGTATGTAGAACATAATGATATCCACCTGTTATACTACCTGCTTTATGTTGCACTTCTGAGATACTTCTATGCCTGTCTCTCACTCCAGGAATTTTAATAATGTAACTTAATTATATTCTCTCTGACGATTCCTGTTCTCTTAGCCTCGTGCACCACAGACTCTGACAGACCAAGGCGCTGAGGATCAGCTTCATGCTGACATTAGTGTGACACAACTGACTCACAGAAAGCCAGAGTAAACTTTTTATAGAAAGGCCATCACAACAAGTCATCTTTTGCGTACAAATACAACACACCTCTCTGTATACCCTCTGCATATATACACTGTATGATTCCTACCCCTCCTTCCCTTTTTTCTCCATTTCTCTCGTGTGCCATTTTATGCTCTAGTCTAATGTTCCATAGTTTTTGGTACCTCATCCAAAAGACAGCTCAGGAGCAGTTAACCCTGCTGATGGTTGTACAGATACAGCTTGTGCGTGGCTGACTCAGCTGTTACTGACGTCAACAGGTCTGTGGAAAGACTCCAGGGAAGTTCAGAGATGTTTTGCCTGGTGTGGGGGAAATACAATCAGCTTCTATGAAACAAATCCTTAATGAGTGTCCAAGAACATAACCTTCAAACAGCAACTGAGGACTCAGGGTTAAGCTTCTAAATACTATTGCAGATGTATTACCATTTTCTATTACTTCTCTTTTTCAACTTCTAAAAAAATTTCTTTGAAAGCTCTGCTAGTGCATCCCAGGTTGATGAAGCAACATGGGTCATTGAGCCCTCATGCCTGCTAACAAATCAGAAGATTTCTAGCATATCTCCTCATGCATCTTTAAAAACAACTCTGGAAATGATTAATCACTGAAGTTTGTTTTAAGAACACACTGCTTTGGTTTCACTGCCTTTTTTTTTTTTTGTGAGCTTTTGACTTGGTAAACAGAGAGAAATGTTGTTCATTTAACAATCAACAATTCCATGTTGCTTATGTCATGTGAGTCATTTACTTCCGTCTCTAAAAAGAACAGGCTCCTAACAAAAATCTTCCCATGTTTAGATCATTTAAAGGGGCTTACCTGTGGAGAGAGAGTAAGCCTGTCCCACAGGATTTCCCTCAGGTAGGGCTCTCTTTCATCTTCCTTGATGTCTATTCATAAGCCATGTGGGAATTTCACATATTTAACGCAACATCTACACTAGAAAATAACAATGTGAGAGGATCTGAAGAGCAAGAGTTCATGCTAAGAGTCCAGTGCCCATGTCCATGTTATAAATATTTGTGGGGTTTAGCTTTAGCTGGGTCCCCTGGACTGAACACCCATGGGCACTTAGTGTGTTTTACGTACACTTTTGGAGCACATCTTCCAGGGCATTTTCATCCGAACTCAGTTCATGTGCTCCAGGATGACTCCACAGTAACAGCCCAAGTGCAGAAAGCAGTGACAATCAGGAAATCCACCACAAAAGTTCCCTCCTGACTCTCTTGTAGAGATTTACCCCATCCAGTCACATGTTCTGCTGAGCAGATATGCATACTTATGAATGCCTACACACACATTATCCCACAACACCCGATCTAAAAATATTCATTCATCAGCTCCACAATGAGGCTGGGTAATTCTGCTGTCCCTTGACATCTAGCCTGCACTATTAAGAGTGATGAACAATTCATCTGCTTCCAAGATGTGGCTGATGAAATGCACCACCGACTTTCCATTTTATTCTAGAACGAATATATCCTATGGATGCTATCTATGTATGGAATATATACAGATAGAAAAGCCTCTGAATGAATGAATGAGAAATTCTTTTTGGAACAATCCTTTGTGTTAAATAAAATTGTAATGGGAGCTCTGGAGCATCTCCGATAAAAATCTCCTTTTAGCAGAAATATCCTAATCTTTCTGGGACAGTGTACTCTAATATAAGTTCTTCTTACATCTATACCTTCTTAAAAAATCAGCCTCCTCGAACTCCTAACAAACAAAAAAAAACTCCAGAGACAATGCCATTTGGTCCTAGCTCCTTTTTAACTAAATCAAGGGCAACTGAATGGATATTGCAATTAATGTTCTTCTATTTCTCCACATTTCTTTGTGAAACACTGCAATACACTTGCCACTTAACAGTCATAAGGAAAGCAAATATTTAACTCAAGTTTTATGGTTGGGCATATTATTTAGCGTATTTAAGATTAATTAGCAACAGTCACCTCCAGCAGATGAAACAAAAATTTGCATGGGCAGAAAACGAATACATAGTCCTTTGCTGACGGCTTGAAAACATGCTCACCTGTAACCATTCAGTAGCACCAGCTTCAGCTCTTTGCATCCCACAGAATAACCAAGAAAATAGTAAAAACACTGTTATGTATATTTAACCTCTTGGTAAAAAAAAGAGTATTTAAATAGTTCTCTGCCTAAGCAAAACATTTTCATGTTTCTACACGTTTGTCTTTTTACCTTCACCTGACTAGGTGTATATTACTGCATTTTTCAAACTCTTACTCAAACATGTGCTGCCCACTAAAGAATTTCCAGATGCCATATCATGGTATATCCTGGATATGACATCACCGGCATATTGTGCTAGATCCTGCAAACATATTTGTCAGTAACAGGAATATTTTCTCTCTTTCTCCTCTTCCGGTCTTTCCGTAACTCCCAGACACGTGATCTGTGTTAAAGTTTGTGATACAGAATTACAGCTGTATGACACAGAATAAAGTTTGTGATTACAGAATCACAACTTTTTCAGTTTGATCTTGTTATTAACAGGTGGGAGTTTGAAGACTGAGGCCTTAAAACCATCCACAGACACCCTAGTGTACGCTCAGACTTTCAGATTGCCAAGTACCCACTGTTCTAACAAACCCTTCAGCCACTGGCTCCAGGGTTTTTGCCCAGATTTAGGAAGTTGGCTCTAGGCTGCTACTTAGGAAAATGTTCTTAACTCTCCTCACAGACAAATTTGTCAGGCTTTCTCCTTAAGAATGACAGCAATTTCCTTTGGCCTAATTATGTCCACTTGTATTTTGACATGTGTTCTGATTAATAGTGTTTTCAGGCTTCATTTTGAATGTATTTGTCTGTTCTAGGTATCTGGCCATTGTTCACCCACTGAAACCACGCATGAATTATCAAACAGCAACCTTCCTGATTGCCTTGGTCTGGATCGTCTCCATACTTGTAGCTATTCCATCTGCATACTTTGCTACTGAAACAGTGTTATTCATAGTCAAAAACCAGGAGAAAATTTTTTGTGGCCAAATCTGGCCAGTTGATCAGCAAATGTACTACAAATCATACTTCCTCTTCATCTTTGGCATTGAATTTGTCGCACCTGTGATTACAATGACCTTGTGTTACGCCAGGATCTCTCGGGAGCTTTGGTTTAAAACCGTACCAGGATTTCAGACAGAACAGATCAGAAAGAGGCTTCGATGCAGAAGAAAAACTGTTATGGTACTCATGTGCATCCTGACCGCCTATGTTCTCTGCTGGGCACCCTTCTATGGCTTCGCAATTGTCCGTGACTTTTTCCCCACCATCTTTGTGAAAGAGAAGCATTATCTTACTGCTTTCTACATAGTTGAATGCATTGCTATGAGTAACAGCATGATAAACACCATGTGTTTTGTAACTGTAAAAAATAACACCATGAAGTATTTCAAGAAGATCATGTTGCTCAGATGGAGATCAACATATAACGGAAGTAAATCTAGCACAGATTTAGACCTGAGAACAAGTGCAATGCCAGTCACAGAGGAGGTCGACTGCATAAAACTGAAATAAATTTTCTGCAGCACTAATCTTACGTATTTTGGAGAGAGGGTAAAGAGGAAATAATGCCTCCTCAGAAGCTTCTCTCTTGTCTGTGGGAATACCCACCACTGGTGAGAGCCCTTGAAAAGCAGCCTACTATGCATTTCCACCAGAACTCTTTTCATTGCACTGCTGTATAATCCCATAATTCAGACTGATGCTGTGCTGCAGTTCACGCACCTGTAAATTTGGGATATGGACACTTTTTTATAGTTGTTTAAAATGTAAGGTGAACGAAAGTCTATGAATGCATGAAAGCATATTACAATGATGTAAGAGCTATCCTAGAAATGATGCCTCTTTGTTTTTTTAAGAGAAATCTCTTAATCACTTTAAGATTATATATTCTACTTTTAAGCTATTTGGTGTTCTTTTTCTTCTGCTCACAAGAAGAAAGATGTCAAAAAGCCCACTTTACTTCATGTCACTCTTTATCCTTTCAGTTTACCCCTCATGATGAAGCTCCCTGAAGTCTACAGACCACTAGCTTTCTATTGTCCAATGTGCAGCATGCTCTTAAGAAAGGCACGTTCTCTGCAAAGCTAGATACTGCTTCACAGTCTAGTGAAAACCTCAAGTCTCCTGCTGTGACACTTCAACAATGTTTTATCAGTGTTTCACTCTGTAGTTTTATGTGGAGTGCTACTCTGTTTATTATGTATTTGGAAACAGCACAGCCACATATTGAAGGGATCTGTTCCCTTCTCTCACCTCCAGGCACCCCCTATGGCCAGCTTCTGCTGCCTTAAGTCGCTGAGGTCTTCACAGAATCAATCACAAAATCACAGATGTGGGGAACTGCATCTCCAGATTGTCTAGCCAATCCCTCTGCTCAAGCAGCATCAGCTAGAACAAGTTGCCCAGGATTGTGTCCAGCTGGGCTTTGACTGACTCCAGGAATCAAGACTCCAAAGCCTCCCTGGCAACACCTGGGCCAGTGTTCAAAAAGCCCTTGCAGTAAAACAGTGTTTTCTTATGTTCAGGTGGAATTTCATGTGTTTCAACCTGATTTTCAGTGAGGCCCATATAAAAGTACAGCATGTTAGTGGAAAAAAATCCACCAGGCCTAGACACTTTATGAACTCGTGTGTAAACCTTCGAAATAAAGTACAAATAAGACCAAAATAGCATAGAGATCTTGAGACAATCTGTATTGTCTTAAGACAAAATGAAGATATACGCTAGGCTTCAGCAAGTCAGTCACTGGCTGAGTTGAGTAGTTCATTCTCTGGTTGAATGTGAGGCAACCACTGAAGATGAACTCTGCATTGCCTCCCCCAGTTCTACTTTTACTATTCTGACTTTGTGCAACCCCAGGATGGGTGTTTCTTAACTGATAATTGTGATAAAGCAGGCCACGGTAGCACTAATTCTTATCCATTTAAACTACACATAAGATACAACGGATTTTTGTGTATCAAAATCAAGTCTTTTCTACCCTGATGACAATGTTTCCTGTTTTAAAGTATGTGGTACTGCCTACTTTTGGTGTAAATGGCTTTTGTAAATAATTTGTCTACTTGTGAATTTAAAGTGAGAAGTAAATCCTCCTAATAAAACAGTAAACTTGGAGACAGTATCAGTCAGCATTGTGAATTATTTTTTATTTTTTCTCCTTAGCCATAATTTTCCTACTGAAGTGACTCATGTCAATTATCTCATTTCTGCTAAAGAAAAACTACCAGGCTGACCAATTAAATTTAATGGCAAAAGGATATTCAAATCCATTAAAGTGCTCAAATTCTCTTGTCATTAGCTACTCTTAAAAAATACACGTTGGAGAGGATCTCATAATTTGCTCTGTTAGGCAAAATGATTCCTGAAATCATTCTTCAAAATGACATTTTTAAACAAGGATAAGTACTAAATCCATTTGTTTCCCAGCCTGCCAAAGAAATTTAAAGAACCAGAGTGCTGCAGTATTTCATCATTGAAAGGTTTAATCTTGTAATTTCTCCTGAAATCTCATGGTTTCTTCTGCAACTATGCAACTTTATTTATGTCCTGAAACTTGTACTAGTTATTGGGGATTAGCTAGCAACACTAGCTGTTATTGGAGTGTCCTAATGCTCCTTCCACCTATTTTTCCTAGTCTTTTCTTGGTGCAACAAAGCCAAACAACTGACAATTTTCCACACCTGGAAAACCACCTCAGGCTGAGCTGTTAAAAAAAAAAATCTCAACACCCACCAAGCAATATAGTACCAAGCAAAAACTGAAGGAAAGAATTGCTTTAAAATTCTGGAAGTCACTTTGACAGCTCCAAGAGAGCTCTTCTGGCCTGGCCTGTCTACTGTTCTCAGACATCACCATGTCCCTGTCCCTGCAAAAAGGGTAGTAAAGCAGCAGCTGCCACAGCCCCTATGGTGGATTTAGGTTTTGGGGTCCACAACATTGCTGTATTTTGACATTTTGAGGTCTTCCGAGCAGCAAAGCAGTGTTTCAGCCTGAACCGAAAAAGCAGGAGAAAAAGCTGTGATTTGCCCTCAATTGCATTTGTTGTGAGCGGTATTCCCAAAAAGAGGGGGATTCCCACTGAGGAAGGGCAGTGGTCCCCTGTTCCTTGATCAGAGTAGCCAAGCAGTGAGATCGCCCTTAGCCTGTGTCTGCACCAACTCCAAACACCGCAAAACTGGTCACAGGCTTCACTTTAGGGACCAATGTCTGCTCCTAAACTGAGCTTCAGTGACCCCAAGGACCCAGGGCAGTGACCCAAGGGCCTGGCATGGGGACAGAAACCTCAAGGAGCTTTCTCGTCCACACAGAACTCATTTTGTCTAGGCAGGGTATGGCCTCCTCCATGTGCCATGGCCTGCCACCCATGCCTGCACTTAGATGGAGAACTTAAAACTCTTAAAGTCACTTAAGAACTGCCCTTAAGTTCAGATGTGAGCACCAGGGACAGGCCCTGACCTGAGCAGCTCCCTTGGGTGAGGGGAGCAGGCAGGATACGGTTCAACCAGAGCAGCCAAGGGAGGGGGCCAAACCCCACGCTCCCTATAGTTAAAGTGAGGTGTGGAAGGAGAAAAGACCATAAAGGCTTTTTTGTACTCCCACAACTCAGGCTAGGGAGCGTGGGTGACAACGGGTGCTCCGCAGATGGGGGCTCCCTCGGCTCCCTGTCAGGTGGGGGCTACCCTGCTGCCTGGCCCCTTCCTGCAGAAACACTTTCTCATTTACATAGAATGGCACCAGTTAGTGAAGGAACTGGAGTCCAAAGAAGGGCGACTAAACTGGTGAAGGGGCTGGAAAATAAAACTTATGGGGAGCTGCTAAGGGAGTTGGGGCTGTTTAGCCTGGAGAAGAGGAGGCTGAGGGGCGACCTGATTACAGGCTACAAA